GTGTGGGTTTTTTTTTTTTTTTCTAACAGGGTCTCACTTTGTTGCCAGGGCTATAGTACAGTGGTGTCATCATAGCTCACTGCCACCTAGAAATCCCAGGTTCAAGCAATCCTCCTGCCTCAGCCACCATGCCCAGCTACTTTTTCTTATTTTTTTGTAGAGATAGGGTCTCACTATGTTGCTCAGGCCAGTTTTGAACTCCTGGCCTCAAGCAATCCTCCCGCCTCAGCCTTCCTAAGTGCTGGGAATACAGGCCTGAGCCACTGCATCAGGCCTTAACCTAATGTGCTTTTTAAAGGTACTTTGGCTTCCAGTAGTCCTAATTAACAAAAAAAGCAATGGTAAGAACCAAAAGTTTTCATTATTGTTGCTTGTGTTCCCTGGCTTTTCCACTAAAACTTTCCCTATTTCTCTATTATAATAAAGTGCTTATCTCATTGTCAATGACAAATAAACCTTTCCAATTTACTTGTGCTGCTGGAGTCCCTGTGAAGGGGTAGGAGGCTGGTGGGAAGGAAAAAGGGAAATAGCTCTTTATTAGTCTGCAAAAGTTGAAAAGTCATTATCCACCTATGAGACCTTAGGTGAGTCACGTCATCACTCAAGAGTTTCTATTTCTTCATTTAGTAAAATGAAGTGACTGGGCTAAATTATCTCTAAACTCACACCCTGCTTGGCTCTAAACCTCTAAGCCTAACTAGTATAATACCTTTCAGTGCCATCCCTCCCTACTTGGATGGCACCCTGGCTCCCTTCACATAGGTCAGCACTATCCCTTCAAGTAAGGTATAGTATAGGTGAAATAACACCATAGTGAACAGAATTTGTCTCTGATGACTCTTCTACCATCATAGTTGACTGGTCTAATATATATATCCCAGTAACAATTAGCTTATATTTTCAAGGTCAAACCTTAGTCCTTTATAACTGGGTGTGATATTCCAAGGGCCCTTATAGAAGCAATTGGCATAGTAGTAGCCCAGTCTTAGGTCTTCTCCCTGCAAGGTAGGACAGGAGGAAGAGGACTGACTTTGGTTAGAGTTAGACCCTTGTTGTGGAACCTCACCATAAGGGCTCTGAATGGATCCTAGGCCAGCTCTGGGTATAGTATGAGAGCTTCTAAAACACAAAACTAAATAAAAATGTCTTAGCTCCTCTGTTTTTCCAATCCTTTTATTTCAGTCCTATTGCTCTCCTTTCCCTCTTTTTATTCCCTCTGCAGGCTTTTTTTCTTTTTTTTTGAGATACATTCTCACTCTGTCACTCAGGCTAGAGTGCAGTGGTGTCATCACAGCTCACTGCAACCTCAAACTCCTGGGCTCAACTGATCCTTCTGCCTCGACCTCCAAAAGTAGCTGGGACTACAGGCACGTGCCAACACGTCTGCTAATTTTTCTACTTTTTAAAGAGACAGGGTCTCACTCTTGCTCAGGCTGGTCTCAAACTCCTGAGTTCAAGTGATCCTCCCACCTCAGCCTGCCAGAGTGCTAGGATTACAGGTATGAGCCACTGTGCCTGGCCTATTCCCTTCGTTATAGGTACAATCTGAAGGACCTCATCCAACTTGCTTCATGTGCCTGGAAGTAGCTCTTTCTCTACATCCTTTTTGACTGAGGACAGTCTCCAGCATGATTATAAATGGAATCTTACCATTTCCTTGGCCTTGGGAGCTCCAGGGAGACAGTCAGCTCTCTAAGGAGTAAGGCAGAGAAAACCATCACCAGCTTTATTCTTGATAACCCACATTCAGTACTACGGTGAACAGGGCTGGCCAGAGCAAAGAGCTGAAGTCTGTAGTCAAAGCCTGACCCCTTCTCAAGTTAGTGACAAGTTGGAAAGAAATAACAAAGAAAAAAAGCCCCAAAAAACAAACAAACAAACAAAAAAAAGGCTGACTCTTCTGCTGAGACTCTCATCTAGAGACACACAATGGATTCACAATTCTTACATTTTTCCCCTTTCCTCATCTCAGGACTAGTGGCTGTTGATGAAAATCAGGTGGCAAGTTGATCAAACAAGGTCTATCTTTTGCTGTGTACTTGGCAGCACCCATGAATCTTTCATCATCAACTGTAAATATTAACAGAAATATTAAGGAGGTGGCCAGGTATAGTGGCTCATGCCTGTATGCCCAGCACTTACGGAGGCTGAGGTGGGAAGACTGCTTGAGGCTAGGAGTTTGAGACCAGCCTGGGCAACATAGCAAGACCCCATATCTACAAAAAATAAGAAAAATTGGCTGGCCATGGTAGTGTATGACTGTAATCCCAGCTACTAGGGAGGCTGAGGCAGGAGATCCCTTGAGCACAGGAGTTTGAGGCTACAGTGAGCTATGACTGTGCCACTGTACTCCAGCCCAGGCAACAGAGCCAGACCCTGTCTCAAAAAGAAAAAAGAAATATTCTCTAGCCTTGGCAACAGAGAGAGATTCTGTCTCAAAAAAAAAAAAAAGAAAAGAAAAGAAATATTAAAGAGGAGCAGTCTCTCAGCAAACAGGAAGAAGGGAAGCTCTGATGCAGGTACACCTGGGAGCCTGCCAGTGACCATGTGCGGTGGCTGGGGCTGCTCTTCTGCCATGGCCTGCCCTTATCAGCTATTATCACTTATTTTTCCTCAGGAAGAAGGGAGAGTAGGCTCAGTGGCAGGAACAGAGTCTTGGGGATCCCCAGGACTGGGACAGATCAGCACAGACCTAGAAAGGAATGAGCCAGTCAGGTCAGGAACAGAGAGAGGCCAAAATCAGAGTAAGAAAGGCTTAAAGTGACAGAGTGGAAAAAATCCCCAGAGTAACAGAACCAAGGGGTTGGATGTAAAGCTACACAAGCTTGTCTGGATTCCCCAGGCCTGGAACAGCCTGGTGAGAAAACTTCCCAGTCACAGGGTCTTTGTATTCACTTATTTAATAACAATAGTTAAGAAGAAGCAATCTCAGCTGTAGAACAAGTAATCAGTTTCATAACATTTCTCTCTTCAAGAAAGTGCATTTCTCCCTCTGGCACTCAGTTGTGTGAATCTGAACTCATTCCCTCTCACTCAGAGGTCCTGTCTATGTAATTCCCAGGTTGGCTAGCACAGTCATCTTAGAATCCCCAAATGTGGAAATTCTGTCCTCAGGAGTCATCATTTACATTATGAAACTCACTGAGTGACACCGAATGGAGACCAAGGTTCAAAGATTACCACATTAATTTGCCTGAAGTCAATTCACCTAAAGCCAATTAGTCTAAAATATTTATCAAATCTGCAGCATTTCAAAAGGACTCAGCAGATTCACCCTTTTACTTTTTATTGCTGTTCCCTGTATAACCTTTAATTGTTAGTCAACTAAATATGCCTCATGCCTATTCATTTGTTTAAGATATACTGGCATTTTAACAGTAGGAATGTAGAAGTTAAACCAAAGTATCAAAATCACATTGATGGCCAGGCGCGGGGGCTCACGCCTGTAATCCTAGCACTCTGGGAGGCCGAGGTGGGCGGATTGTTTGAGCTCAGGAGTTTGAGACCAGCCTGAGCAAGAGCAAGACCC